TTAATAGTATATTAATTATATATTAATAGTATATTAATTATATATAAATAATAAGCAATATTGACTGATATGAAACCTTATATTGTGATATTTTTGTGTTCCATATCATTCAGCTTTAGGTTTAATACATTCAGTTTCCATATACTTTTGTACTTTAGTACAAGAAACAGTTACCAACCTTTTTACACAAAAATCTTCCTTCTTAAATAAGGATATTCTTTTAATTCTTAGTTATTTATTGTAAAATATTTGCCATTGAAACATATCTAGGTTTCCATGGTAAACAGATTCAACAGAGCTCTGAAAGATGTTCAGAGCATCTTACTGTTATTTCAGGAAGAAATCATGACTTTCTTCTTGACCTGTCTGTGTGTTAACAAACAAGCTTACTAACTAGGTGAGCCTGAAAGAGGTCACCTAGTTAAAGAGGTCATCTGAAAGAGAAGATAGATATTTTTTAGAAATCACTTTTGGGAGATGTTATAAATAGGGCGGTTGACTTTTTGACTTACTAGCTGTTAGCCATTAGCCTTTCACTGCTGCAGACACTTCTCCAGCCTTGTGGTTTCCTTTGCTTTTCTTTCCCTCACATCATTTCGAGCTAAAATCTCTCCAAAAACGATTGTGACACATTCTTCTAAAAGAAATGTGCTCGTTAGCTTTTCAGTTTTTTTACTTTTTTTTTCTTCTGGAGTTCTTGTTCTACAGGACGTACCCAGCTTTCACAACAAAGGCAGACAATAGTTTCCACAGAAGCCTTGAATTTATCTTTTTATGGTACTACACCACTTTAGCTGTAGCTCCATCATCCACTATGTCCCTCTAACGGAGGAGCGTACCTCTTGGTGATGTTTTTATTGCGTGGGCTACAAAAAGCTGCCTGTTGATGGTATTTTGTCTACCGGGATGAATCACATTAAAAACGTGTGTGAGAGAAGGAGCCACCAGAAAGAAGGAGTCGCATCCACGCTGAATGAGACGCGCACTGCCGGCACTTTCCACACCAGAGTCATTCGCCACGGTTGATTTACTCCACATGCCTGTGTGTTCAGAGTCGCAATTTCCAGCAAGTAATCACAGCACCCCCAAGAGGGAGACAGGTGCCCCGCACTCCAAAGAACAAAGATTCACCTTCTCATCTCACCTCTCTCATGTCTTCACATACTCCTCTTCCGCTGCTCTGAGACAAGTGCAGATAAGGGATACTTGTTTTATTCCCAAGTGTTGGAAACATTGTGCTACTGCAGGCCTAGAAACAGAGCAGTGGAGATTAGAGGGATTGCTGTTTACTGCTTTTCCTTTGCGGTGTGTTCAGGGAATTCACAGCCAGTGGAGGAGAGTTCCAGGCTGAGGCTGACAGTGACACATGGCCATTTCCCAGATTTAGGTATGACACTTCTCGGAGTCCCGACAGAGACGAGCCTGGGCTGAAACTAATTCTGCTTATTGTAGCCAGGCAGTCTGAGTTTTGCTGTGCGCTCCTTCCTGCGTATCCCTCTATGAACTGAGTCTGACACATCCATAAGAATGATGGAGTGGCTCGGCTGTCTCTGTCATTGCTGTGCAAAAAAAACAAAAAGAAAAAAGGAAATGGAGAAGTTTGATGAAACATGCCTGACTTTGTGTTTCAGAGCCGACCATCATCACCACGCAGCCCACAACGCTGGACATCACCGTCGGGGAGAGCGTGGTCCTGCCCTGTCAGGTGAGCCACGACCCGTCTCTGGAGCTCAAGTTCACCTGGTTCTTCAACGAGCAGCTCATCCACTTCGGGAGCAACGGCGGATTCTTTGAAAAAGTCGGCGGCGTAAGTCCACAATCTGTCTTTGAGCGTTTGAGTGGGCAGTATGGACGTCAGGCTGTATCACGATATTTGATGGTGCTACTGTGAAAACGGTAAAAGTGGTGATAATAAATATTTATTAGATCTTGTTATGACTGTGACTGTGTCACACACAAATAGTTTCCTTGAAATCTGTTCGTATTTGTAATGTGCTTCTTTAGGACACTAGTCACATAAAGAAGTGTGACTTGTAAGCTGCACACTGTAACTGTATTTTAAAATGTATTGGTATTTATTGATGATTTATTGAATAAGCAATAGAAAAACAGTAAAACTATCAATCCTAAGAACAGTTTTGGAGTTTAATTGGAATTTTATCGTAACAACAATAACTAAAATTTCATATCACGATAAGAAATTTATCACAATAACTGATAAAAAATACAATCAATTTCCATCCCTACTTTTAAGAAAGAATAAATAACTTAAGCTCCAGTTTACTGTGGTTTTAACAATAAAGTAAGGTTCTAAAGTGGCTTAGTCAAAGCCTAGACTTCTGTTCCCACATGCCTGCATTCCTCCATGCTAATAGATAGTTTTTCCCCCTACTAGGAGGGATGCTAGCTAGCATCTCTCCACTGTTTGTTAGATAAAGTGCTAATCAAGAACACAAAGCTCCCTCAGGTTTCTGGAAGAATCCTCATTTTATTGGCTCCCCTGTGCTCTGACAGGAGCCCAGGACATAAAAGATATTGATTTATTTTTTTTTCCCAGCTGCTTTCAGAGACTTCAATGAATAAAGGTTGAGAGGTGACTCCGAAGATTCATTGGTCCATTCACTGCTTCCTTTAGCAGGACCGTAATAAATTCAGCTGCAGTGCAGAGGGAATGTTTGTATCAAGTATATTATTTATGGACAGAAAATTGCTGCCTCTGGCTAATTTTAAAATGAAATTTACATACTCACCCTGCAAACACTCGCATTCTGCCAGTGGACACTTTAAAAAGGTCTCCAACTCACTACTCACCTAAACATGCATTTTCTTTTCTGTATGTAGCAAATAAGTTCAAGGTATCTTTATCTACGACCAGCATGAGAAATAAAAAAAGAAAAATTAAAAACACATTCGCCTTGCTTTTTAGTTTCTGCAATAATTTTAGGTTTCTTGGAGTGTGATTTAAAGTCTCAGCACCTTAATAAATGACTCTTCATCTCCACTTACATTGATTAAGCCCTTGGCCACTCCTCTGAATTCCCACCATCATTGTGCCACAGCTTTCAGCCATCTTCTATTTATTACTCAACCTGCTCAGCTCCACTCTGATGAAATGATAATGTAGGAGTGGGAATAGTAATTAGAGACGGAATGAAAGGCTCTCTTAAAGGACTAAGTAGCAGACCAGCCATTAGGCTGCTCATATAACATTCTACAGTCCAAATAAGACTCCTAGAGGAAGTGCATTTCTGTAATTACGCAGATGAAGTAAATGCACAGAGCGGCACTCCCAAATCCCATTTGGAAAATAAGAGGAGAGAGGCCCCGCGTGTGGATTTATGGATTTATTTTTCGGAACACACATGTATGAAAATGAGCTTTCTTCCTGAGACCGGTGGTGTCAGGGGTTGTTTTTTCTTGTTGTTGTTGTTGTGTTTTTGTTTAATTCCAGTAGCTGCGGGGTTACAGCCATGCTTATGAAGGTCTGTCTGCTTTTTGTGTGTGCGATGAATGACAGCAGCACTCGGCGGGGGACATTATGGTTCGGAACATCCAGCTGGGGCATGCAGGGAAGTACACATGCGCCGTACAGACCAAGGTGGACAGCATCTCCATAGCGGTAGACCTGGTTGTCCGAGGTAAGTTGGGGAATACGGACTTTAAATTGTATCACAGTATTTGGCTGAACTGTTGTGCTAAATATTTATTATATCTTTTTTTTAGGAAGCTTAATTAAGAAATTAAATTAAAATGAATGAAAACACTTGTTCATGTGATAAGTCATTAAAAATCATGGCAGAGATGGATGTAAACAGTTATAGTAGATATATTCAGAAATTATCTATGGTGCTAGTGCTCATCATCTACCAGCCAATCAGAGGAGACATCGGAATTTTATTCAGACGTTGGAGCGACAAGCCTCGCCTACTAGGGAGCGACTCTGTATGTGGGTTTTTGGGGAAATCATAGTTTCCCCAAAATCATAGTTTGCTGTGAGAGTTCTGGTGGAGCCAGCTGCTCATTGAAAACACTAAAACAAACCGTCATCCTCCTACAAGTTCCCGTTGTCTTCTTTATCTTTTCCACCAGTAGTAACACCCGGCTGTGATCATGTGACTCCTTTGAACAATATTATTTTCATAATTTCAATTTGTGCAGATCTATGGCTGATGGAAATGCAGGGAGCATGTCAAAGCAACTATAGCACTACAATTCTATAAGAACTGTAGCGCTATTCTTAAATTGTGGTAAATAAAGCATTCCCATTTCCAACAATGCCTTTTTAGGACACCGGTCACATGAAGAAGTGTGATTTCTATAGGTAGACTGAGTGTTCAATTTTATTGAAATGTATTGATGCTTTTGTTGAACAAACAGTGGAGAAAATGGTAAAACTAACAATCCTGACAATACGGACAGTTTTTAGGGGGGAAGAGGGGGAGAAAAGGGGTTAGACACTATTAATTGCAATTCATTGTGGCAATGATTATTCAAAACTCTCATAATGATAAGAAATTATTCACAATAAATGATGTAATATAATTTATTGTATTATGTAAAATCAACTTTTGTTGATTTTGTTCTTCCCTCATCAAAAACATTTGTACAGCACATATTTCTGCCCTATTAACCACCTTCAGACTTTGTTAAATAGTTTAATTATGCATGGTTTATCCACTAATAAAGAAGTAAAGTATTGGCAAGTTTAAGGTTCTCTGTTCAAGATTTAAAGAAAATTTACAATTTAATTAGAGCAAACGTCTCCCAAAGGGTTCACGCTGAACTGACTTTGCTGCCATTGCCGCCGGTGCTAAAACCTCCCGTCTTTCTGACTCCTCCCGATTTACATTTCCTTCCCCACTTCTCCCCTCTTCTCTGTCTCTCTCTATATATCGTTTTCTCCCTGCCTGACTATGGCATCCATCAGGTCCCCCAGGCCCCCCCACCAGCATCCAAGTAGAAGAAATCACTGATACCACAGCCTCTCTGTCCTGGAGGCCCGGTCCCGATAATCACAGTCCAATTACGGCGTACACCATCCAGGCCAGGACACCGTTCTCCCTGGGGTGGCAGGCTGTCACCACAGGTAAGCTCTCTCCAACCAGCCGTGGCCTCCTCTAGTCCACCTGGACGAGGGCTCCGTTCGTGGTTTCTACTCAGCCCTGGGAAAATATTAGAGGTGTAATTTCCTGCTCCGGCACCAAATGGTGCACTATGGTTGCCGGGATCATTGACCGCTGTATTATCGGACTCCTGGGAGCCCTGAAACATGGATCTCTGAGTGATGAAAAACCACGTTGCCAAGGCTGTAATATGATAGTGTAGTTACATAGCACATTTTTTTTTAATGGGACTCTTACTATTCATGCATTATCGGTATAATGTGCTTTTATCCTACACCTTATACCCTCCTTTATTTATAGTTTTGTTTTTTTGTTTTTTTGCACATGATGGACTCTGAGTATCTGAGATACTCTTCCTGGACTCTTGGATCTGCAGTTCTTCATTCATATATTAAAGAACACGTTGAACACTGTAGGTGGAGAAAGATATTGTTACCTTTAATGCACTCGTCTCTATTTGCACAAAATATTCTGTGTCTTGTGGTAATTGCACACATTTCACACAGAGCTTACGAAATCATGCTAGATTTCGGGATTACATTTCTGTATAATTTTTCATGTATCTGCAGGATTTATTTGTTCCTTCCACTTCCCAGTTGTGCATTACTTCCTAGTGGTCAGTTCCATAAAATCCCCCCAAAAAACATTTAAGTTTATGGCTGAAACGATTAATCGGATTAATTGTGATGAATTAATTATTGAAATAATAGTCAAATAATTTAAAATAAAACAGGCCATTTGCTGAAATAACAACATACTCAAAGCAGTGATTAAGCCAAAACTGTGCACAAAGTAGATACATTTTGCATTTAAGATTATAAAACCCTTAGTCTGTAAATATGTTCTACCCAAAACTACTCAAGGAGCAAAGTTTTAGCTTCACCTCAGTCAAATTCTGTACAAGAAAATCTCCAATTAATTATCTTTTGCTGTCCAATTATTAATCAGTTAATCCAAAAATTAACCAGCAGATGTCCTATTGATGTTAGGTGAAGCAGAAAGGGTTGATCTTTGCACATGTTGTTAGCTCCAGATGCATCCTTTGGTACAAATTAACAAGCGTAAAGAATTGCTGTTGTTGCATTTAGGCTTTTAATTTAAAAAGAAATTGATTTACTTGATTGTTTACATATTTCTGTGCATTTTCAGTATAGCATAATAAAATATTTAAATATTTAAATAAAAAATCTTCAGAATATGCCAATTTTTTTAGCTTGTTTTAACTGGAGACGCTCTGTGTTTTCTGCCAGTTCCTGAGGTGGTTGGGGGCCACCAGCTGACCGCTGCTGTAACAGAGCTGAGCCCTTGGGTGGAGTACGAGTTCCGAGTTCTGGCAAGCAACAGAGTTGGGACCGGCGAGCCCAGCAAGCCCTCCAAACAAGCAAGGACGAAGAGCACAAGTATGAAATGTCTGTTTCGGTGTAGATCTAGTAAAACATGAGAACATGTGGTTTGATAAATTGGACTAAAAGTTATTCATAGGTTTGAGAAATGATCAAAAACAGTTGCAAAAAACAGATGGCATACAGCTTTGAAGCAAGCAAATGGTTTTCATAATTCCATATTTTCTTAGATTTTTTTTAAAAAGTGATACATTTTAAATGCAAACATTTGAAGATAGTTGAAAATCTATATGTAGACTGACATTGACATAAAACCATAAATACAAGTGGGAATATTGCGTTTTCAGAATTGAACTTCTATGAATATAACCTATTTTAAAAGTCCTATTCATAGATGAAACTGTTAATGCATGCAGGACGTAACCCACCTTTAAAAGCGACTTCCAATGTTTTGCTACTTTTCTTACATCTTTTATTGTTGCTGGACTCCTCAGCTGCAGGAAGTTGCCGTAGTTTACTGTTTAGAGAAAAAAAAAAAAAAACAGAGAAAATGTTGAAGTTTTCCTTCAGAGTTCCAAGGTGGCTGAGCCGATATGTTTTCCCCCCACAGCTCCGAAGGTCACACCAGCTAATGTGAGCGGAGGAGGAGGCAGTCGCTCCGAATTAGTCATCACATGGGAGGTAAGCAAGCTCTCTCAGGAACCCTCTCACCCATGGAGGAGGCCGCCAGACGCCATTACTCTCTTTGGATGTGGGCCCCCCGTTTCATTAATAACCAGTGAACGGCCTAATGTATGGCGTTTCATTTTTAAGAACACAGAGGCAATAACTGCAGCTGTCACCCCCGAGGGGGAGAGAAAAATGCTTTTGAGGTTTCAATGAGATAATTAAAGTCATAGTTTGTTCAAAGTCACAACTTTTTGTTTCTAGATGATTTTCCTTATGTGTTTTATCAGCTGGCATTCAAATTGCTTCTGTTTATTCAGCACAAAGAATCAGTGCTGATGTTTCCAAACACAAAAGCTCCATTATAGTAAAACATCTACTTAACAAAGCTGCCCGTCGTCAACCAGGGAAATTCTTTAGGTGTTTTTCCTTTTGACCCGGAAGAAGGGATGAAAAGTGGCTAGACTTAAATTTTGTTGTCTAAAATGAATGGAAGTAAATACAATGTGCTAATATGATCAAATGTGAGTTTGTAACAAAATAGTCTCAGACTTGAAAAATGAGGCAGTAGCACATTAATCAAACAGAAAGATTAAAAGCATCACTTAATTAACTCTAAACTAGTGGAATTTACCTCCATATTAACAGTGTTTTACAAATGACAACACTTTGATTTACAAATCTCTTTGCAGTTTATTAGAAAAAGAAAACAGGACCAAAAATATCATTTTTGCTTTTATTACTTTAACTGGTTGGCCAAGAGGGTCTGAGATCTTCCTTCATAATGTTTTACCAGAACTCCTCTGAAAGGTTATTCACTGTTTGTGTTTTGGTCTTCCTGTTCGATTTTTTTCCCCACTTAGCAGCAAAATGCAATATTGCTCTTTCTTTCAATTGATAAAATTCTTCTAATTTAAGTTTTGAAATGCCAACCATCTGTATTATGAAACTAAGTGACCTTCCTACATTTAACTTAATCTAAGCAGAATATACAGTTCAAGGTATTGGGTCACCCATCAGATTCCTTAAATTCCAATCCAGTGCCGAGTCACGCACTGATTCTCCAAACATGTCTGAAAGAATGAGTCACTGACAGAAACTAGGAGGATTCCATTTTGGTATCATGATATGATGACACATGTGCATCATATCATGCACATGTGTCAACAATTGAAGCAGTTTTGTCATTATCTGTGACAATAAAAGGCCATAGAGATCAAAACATTTACATGTTCTATTCAAGCAAGAGGTCACAACAATAAAAAGGAACTTATGAAATGATATGTATGTACCACTGAAAGCCAACGAAACTAATGAAATGTTTTAGTTTGTCAGAACTGTTACAAAACTATAAAAATTCATCATAATCAAGAAATAGACTTAACACATTAAGAGAACTGATTAACACATTTTGGATCAAGTGTGTAAAGCTTTTAGTTTTATTTAAATATAATCAATGGAAATCAAAGTAAAGAATCTTAGCACATACAGTATACAGTATAAAGTTAAATCTGAAGTTGTCTTGCTTAATTTATATATCCTTGTTTGAATACTGCAAATGAAAGAAAAATTAGTCAAACTATAAATCTGCAATACATAAAAAGATAACAAGAATAACAAGAATTTGACAGTCATACACAACTTAACCATTAACGAACTTAAGGCATCTAAGAAGCTTTTTGGTCTTATGTATATCTTACAGCAAATAAATCTATATTTGACTCACTTATTGAAGTTTTAAAAATGTTTTGTACCTGACAAACTCTAGAAGCTGAAAACAAGCTTCCAGGTCATCATAGCTAAATGTAAAGAGTCCTAACACAGAGCCCTGTGGGACACCTCGTGTTTATCTTCTCACATTGAAAGTCACTTTATTTACAAATCGTATATGCTTTGTAAATTCTGGGTAGTGCAAAGTTAAAATATCTAAAATAAAATAAATTAAATTTATACAAAAAATTGCACTAAAAGATAAAACTATGACCAAAGGTTCTAAAATACTTTTAGAGCATGAACTTACACATCATAAAGAGCCCACAGCTCTTTATGAGAAACGTGATTTTTCCAAAAATCAAGTTTTTTTAAAAGTCTGTACCCTTTAGCAGGGTTTAGAGTCTGCACTTAGCAAAACGAAGTATCCAGCTCTGAATGTCCAGAGTGGGTCTGAGTTTATGTTATGACGCTGAGTGCTCTGTGCTGTGTAATGGATGTGTGCAGTAAAAGCTCAGGCATGTTCAGCAGGTTACATCTGAAGCCAGGCCCTGCCTTTACATGACCCCCTCTACTCTCAACCTGTATTTATTTCCAAATCATGCAGAGTAAACAAAGTGAAAGCTTATTAGCAGTGCTTAGAGTGGATGTTCAGATGGGTTGTTGTGTGTTTGCTTGCAGCCTGTTCCAGAGGAGTTGCAGAATGGGCCAGGGTTCGGCTATGTGGTGGCATTCCGACCTCACGGGGCCACGGGCTGGATGCAGGCCGCCGTGCCGTCCCCAGAGGCATCCCGATATGTCTTTAAAAATGAGAGCATTCAGCCTTTCTCGCCTTTCCATGTAAAGGTCGGCGTTTACAACAACGAGGGGGAGGGTCCATTTGGACCGGTTACCACCATCTACTCTGCTGAGGAAGGTGTGTACACTCCTTTAACTCAGGCCAAATGGAACAGACACTAATCAGGGTTCTCTCAAAAAGGCTAAAATTTGAAATAAAAAAAAACATAATATAGGGCTTTAAATAGTCTTACGAACATCCAGATTTTCGTCCAAGGTCCTAAATTTCATTTTGTTGAGTTTTAATATTTTATTTTTGATCAATCTGGAGAAGCTCCTGTACTGGTACTCTTGAAGCTGAACTTGGTGCTAAATGGGATTAGCTCAGACATATGTAGGATGAGTTTGTATGTAGGCCTGCAAAACTGTTGGTTGTTTTAGGACTGAGATCATTTAATCTCTTTTATTTAATAAATGTGGATCTTTTTTCATAACTGAATTGATAACAATAATAAGGTTTCTTTGTTAAAATGTTAATGTGAATGCTTTGTGTTGGTCTTAAATTTCATTCATAAAGGTATTAAAAAGTCTGTGAAAGATCTTAAAACTTACTTACTGAAACCTGCAAGAACCCTGACTAATAGAAGTTCAAAGATAGATGTGTGATGTTATTAATTCCCACATTAGGCTTAATATTGTTCTATTATATGTACAACAAAACACTTTTAGCTGCTCTCCATACACACTTACATTCTCTCGGCTGAATAATCCAAGCAGACGCCAAGATGTGGGCCAGTGAGCTTCAAAATGTTTAACACCTCAAAAATATGGCTAACCAAATCATTTACTGAATTAATCCCTGGGACATGTAAATGAATAAATGGGATTTTTTTTTATTTTTTATTTTTTTTATTCCTGATGCTCACTGTGAACCTGTGATTTCCTCACGTTCAACACATCATCACTCATAAATGCTCATTCACCCTTACATAAAAAACACAATATTTCATTTCAGATTTTTCTCTTTTTTTAGTGTCTCAGTGAGAAGAACAAACCCCTCACTTTTTTTATTCAGTGATCTCACAGTGACATGAAGGAACAAAGTAAACATCCTCAGAGGAATGACAAAAAGTGTCCTTTAATGCTGACATACTGTTAGTATTTTGACCTACTGATCTATAATGAGTTGAGCATTAAAACATCGTGTAGATTCATTGTTCAAAGACAATAGACTTTGAATGAACAGTGAGGCAGAGTCATTTTTGCATAGATAAAGAGACGTGTGTTCTCTGATAAGAAAAATAATTCCATCGTGAGCAATATTTATCAATTTACAGTTGATAAATATAATAATAACAACAATAATAATAATAATAATAATAATAATAATAATAATAATAATAATAATAATAATTACTATTATTACTATTATTATTATTATTATTATTATTATTATTATTATTATTATTATTATTATTATGTTAGGGTTAAGGTTATAATGTTATAATAATAATAACATTATTATTATTATTATTATTATTATTATTATTATTATTATTATTATTATTATTATTATTATTATTATTATTAGCTAATACTCAGTGTGAATCCAGCTGTTCAATACTTCAACATATTTGAATTCTGCCCCTAAAAATTAACCAAATTATTAAAAAACTAAAGCTACTACTATAACTAATAAAAACTAAATGAAAACTAAACAGTATTTAACTAATAAATTCTATCAAACAACTAATTAAAGCTAACTGAATTAGATAAATAAGTCACAACAAAATCCTACTGACCACAAGCTACTTTGTAAAGATTTTAGTTTCTAGATGCTCAAAGCAGGTGGAGAGTGTAACCCTGATTGTGCACCAGTTGTAGTTGGAGCCAAATATGGCTTTTTAGTGACTCTGGGAAGCTGAACACAAACTCACACTACACACACTTCACACACTACACGCACTTCACACACACTACAGCTCTTTCTCTTTCAGCATGTTGACTGCTTGACCCTGCTTCCATCTTGTTTTAATGTTCCCAATAGAGGAAGTGGTTTCGAAATCCTTCAGATGTTCCCTTTTCAAAGCTAACCATAT